GTGACCCCTTTGGGGGTCGAACGACCCTTTCACAGGGGTCGCCTCTAAAACCATCGGAAAACACATCTATAATTACATATTGTTTTTGTGATTAATCACTATGCTTTAATTATGTTCAATTTGTAACAATGAAAATACATCCTGCATATCAGATATTTACATTCCGATTCATAACAGTAGCAAAATGACAGTTATGAAGTAGCAACGAAAATAATTTTATGGTTGGGGGTCACCACAACATGAGGAACTGTATTAAAGGGTTGAGAACCCTTAGGGAGGTTGAGAACCACTGAGCTAGGGCAATGACAACAACCCTATGACAGGTCTCTATCCCCACTCCCCAGCTGAGGAAGTGGGACTGGACTCAGGAAAAGTTAATAAGTGACTTACCTAGCACCTGCTACTCAACCACTCTAGTCCTGAAGACGGTTAACGGTTAACTCCATTGCATTATCAAAGCCAGGAGCAATATCTATGGAACAGATTGAAAAAACAAAACGTTAAAAACAATGTATTGGTTACATGGTTTGAGTCTTTTCCTTGGCTAGTATCAAAATGACCCGTAACTGCAATTGGTCCTTCCTTGCATGTGACTAGTGGCTGCTCTTTCCAGCCCTTTATCCACGGGTGGGGTTCCTGTCTCATAACCAAGGTGTTTAGCTGGGCCCAGTATACTGGGTTTGCTGCACCCACCGTGTCCCAGAAGCCTCTGGAGTTTTTGTTTTTTGAGCAAAAGTAAAGGTAAAGGTTTATTACAGAACAGCTTCCTGCCACAGGGAGGAGACGCAAGCGGGTTGCCCGGCCCTGGAGTTCCTCACATTCAAATTCAAATCTTGCTGCCTGGGAACTATTTCAAATCTTTGGACAGAATATTAAAGTCTTTCCTGTTTTCATCCTCTTTACTTGATAAAATAGCCAAAGGCTATAGAGCAGTGGTTCTCAACCTTCTGGCCCTTTAAATACAGTTCCTCATGTTGTGACCCAACCATAAAATTATTTTCGTTGCTACTTCATAACTGGAATGTTGCTACTCTGATGAATCGTCATGTAAATATCTGATATGCAGGATGGTCTTAGGCGACCCCTGTGAAAGGGTCGTTCGACCGCCAAAGCGGTCGCGACCCACAGGTTGAGAACTGCTGCTATAAAGGAAGTAGAAGTAGAATTGTATGGATGGTCAGACTTTGAGACAAGATTTCAGAACCTGGTGGAGAGCAGGGCTGGTGGTTCATCCCCTTTGGCTTTCCACCCAGTCACTGGTACCAATGAGCTCGTGCCTCTGGCATCAGCAGGGACTGTGGCTCCAGAGCCCACCTGCCCCTGGCTCCCTCCTCCTCCCTCTTCCCTAGTACCAACTGAGAATTTTCCATCTGTTCACAGGCCCAAGGCAGCTGGAGAACTGCTACACGAAGAAGGTTCTGGCTCCAAGGAAACATTTGCCTGGGCCCCTCCTGGCTCACAGGCCTGGCAGCCACAGCATCTCTGCTGTTTGTTTACTCTGCTGGTGTCTGAGGGAGGGATGCCTTGCCAGGAGGCCTCAGGGGGTGGCACATCTTGGCAAATGCACCACAGCTGAGTTCTGGTCCCAGCCTTTCTGATGCAGTGCGCTCAGAGGTGACTAGAACTCGGGTGCTAAGCTTCTGTTAACAATTTCCAAGACCAGATAGATTCTGGAACCCTAATGATTATCGACAGTGGAGGGATCTCCAATACTAAGCCACCTGCCAAGGACCCCTTGCTCCTGGTCTCCGGTGACTGAAATGGTGGCTTTGTGATCAGATAGTGGTTGATCCAACATGTGATGAAAGAAAGGGGTCAAGTGAGGGACAGGTAGACACCAGCCATGAACCCCCTCACTTCAAAGTCCTACTTCTCTTCCCTGCCCTACTGCTCTCTGCTCAGTGCCCAAGGTTCCCTCGTTAACCCTTCAGGTTTCCCTGCTGAACACGCCCCTTTTGCAGCTAGGTTAGTGTCACTGGTTAGGTTGGAGTTAAATAGATGATCCAGCCCTAGCCGTTTTGGCTCAGTGGATAGAGGGTTGGCCTGCGAACTGAAAGGTCCCAGGTTCGATTCCAGTCAAAGGCACATACCCGGGTTGTGGGCTTGATCCCCAGTAGGGGGCGTGCAGGAGGCAGCCAATCAATGATTCTCTATCATCATTGATGTTTCTCTGCCTCTCCCTTCCTCTCTGAAATCAATCAATAAATAAAAAAGAATGATCTAGTAGACCTAGGAAACATTAACCTCCACTCATTACCTGTGGCTGTAATTGAGTTCCTAGAGAATATGCCTATTTCCTTCATCTCAAAATCCTCTCTCCTTATGCACGGCTTATAGACCCCTCTGTGCATTACTTTTCTAAATATGTTACTTCTCTTCCCTGCCCTACTGCTCTCTGCTCAGTGCTCAAGGTTCCCTCGTTAACCCTTCCAGGTTTCCCTGCTGAACACGCCCCTTTTGCAGCTAGGTTAGTGTCACTGGTTAGGTTGGAGTTAAATAGATGATCCAGCCCTAGCCGATTTGGCTCAGTGGATAGAGCGTTGGCCTGCAGACTGAAAGGTCCCAGGTTTGATTCCAGTCAAAGGCACATACCCGGGTTGTGGGCTTGATCCCCAGTAGGGGGCGTGCAGGAGGAAGCCGATCAATGATTCTCTATCATCATTGATGTTTCTATCTTTCTCTGCCTTTCCCTTCCTCTCTGAAATTAAAAAAAAAAAAAAAATGATCTAGTAGGCCTAGGAAACATTAATCTCCACTCATTACCTGTGGCTGTAATTGGTTGAATTCCTAGAGAATATGCCTATTTCCTTCATCTCAAAATCCTCTCTCCTTATGCACGGCTTATAGACCCCTCTGTGCATTACTTTTCTAAATATATCAATGATGTAGAAACTCTTGCTGAAATTGACATTTGCCTCTCTCGTTGTCCTATATGGTGCTTCCCTTCAAAGTTATTAGATCCTGTATTGAAATCTATGGTGTAGTGGATGGAGTATTGGAACCCAAGAGACCTGGCTGAGCTGGTTCTAGACACGCTTGGGCTACTAACTAGCAGTGTGACTGGGGCACATCACTTCTGGAGGCCTCACTTCCCTCATCTGAAAAAAAATTTTTTTATTTTTTATTTTATTTATTTTTTAATTTCAGAGAGAGGAAGGGAGAGGGAGAGAGGGATGGAAATATCAATGATGACAGAAAATCATCATTGATCGGCTCCTCTTACACGCCCCCTACGGGAATTGAGCTCACAACCCGGGCATGTGCCCTGACTGGGAATTGAACCGTGACCTCCTGATTCATAGGTCTATGCTCAACCATGAGCCATGCCAGCCGGGCTCATATGCAAAATTGATGATAGTACTTTCTCTTCCCATCCCAGAAGGCTGCCGGGAAAAGGTCAGTCACTCTGTATGGCAGTGGACATGGACATCCTACTCTCTGTGATAATATTGGTAACTCTGACCTACGTGGGGCCTGCTTTCACAAAAGAATTTTCTGTCTAGCTTTCTGAGACTAACTGTCTTCTGAGGAACCAGGAAGGCTGCAACTGGAAAAGCATCCCGGGTATGTAGACTATTGGGGGTCCTTTAGTCCCAGGCTTTGGGACGCAGCTCAAGGGCATGCATGCCTGTCTTCTTCCTTGAGGTACTGGATGTGGTGGGTGTCATGGTGAAGGTGATAGTTGTAAGAATTTTCTGTCTAGCTTTCTGAGACTAACTGTCTTCTGAGGAACCAGGAAGGCTGCAACTGGAAAAGCATCCCGGGTATGTAGACTATTGGGGGTCCTTTAGTCCCAGGCTTTGGGACGCAGCTCAAGGGCATGCATGCCTGTCTTCTTCCTTGAGGTACTGGATGTGGTGGGTGTCATGGTGAAGGTGATAGGAGTTGTGTTTGGGGCTATGCTTTTCAGACTTGATTTCACTGCCAGTCAGAGTTCCATGTGCTCAGAAGCTCCCTGAGTTACGGGAATGGGCAATGAACTTGGATTAGTTTTCAATTTTCTTTTTTAACAGTGGAACCTCTTTCGAAGTGCAATCTTACAGTAACAGAAAACATGTGGCAGCAGAGGTGACCAGACCTGGGCTGGGGCTCTGCCCACCTAGCAGTCCCCGAGGCAGCCATGAGGCACTTCTAGGCCGGCCCAGGGAGTGGTTTGAAAGCCAGGGTGCGTGTGCCGAATGTGCTGGCCTGAATTTCCACAGTGGCCCGCTCAGAACCACTGCTCTTAAGGTCAGAAGTCTCCCTGGCCCAGACTCAATGCTGGACTGGGGACTCTCTGGAGAGCCCCCCATTACCATGTTCCACCGCAGGTTTCCCCTCCTGTGGGGAGGATCACAACTTCATCCACTTTCAACTGAATTTTGAACCTTTCATCTGTTAAACAGGGAGTGAGCCCTACACTGTAGGACTCATTGTCAATATCTAAACCATGCTATAATAAAAGGCTAATATGCAAATCGACCGAACAGTGGAACGACCGGTTGCCATGACGCGCACTGACCACCAGGGGGCAGACGCTCAACGCAGGAGCTGCCCCCTGGTGGTCAGTGTGCTCCCACAGGGGGAGTAACACTCAGCCAGAAGCCGGGCTCATGGCTGGTGAGCACATAGGTGGCAGCACTAAGGATGTCCCACGGCCATCAGTCGGACATCCCCCGAGGGCTCCCGCACTGCGAGAGGGGCAGGCTGGGCTGAGGGGGGCCTCCCCCAGTGCACGAATTTTTTGCTGGGGCCTCCAGTATAAAATAGGTAAAGTAGGCGCTCAATGAGTGTAGTTTCCTGCTCCCCCCACCCCGCCAAAGCTAACCGGCTTCCCTCCAGGCTCTCCCAGCTTCCTCCACTGTTTCTCTCCTCACACTTGCAGCGCACACACCTCACTGAGCACCTACCACACTCCCTGGGGTATTTGCGCTGCTCACAGCAGGTCTGAGGAAATGCATCCATCCTGCTGCACCGCAGTCCAGGCCCTAAGAGAACGGTGCTTGCTGGGCTCGCAGCGGTCGCTCCACAGCTGATGGCTGCGCGCTAGCGCCGGCGGGGTCCCCCTGCCTCTCCCAGGGCTGTGCTCACAGACGTGAGGGAGTCTGGGTGCGGGGTGTCGGGCGAGGACTGAGGGGGTGACGCATCACCACAGAGGACACCCAGGACGGAGAAGTACTGTCTCTTGTGGCGAAATAACTGGGTCTCAGCTCCACACGAGCGGCCTCGGCCGAGCCGCCGGCTGGGGGACCGCCGGT